TTCTTTGATAGAGTGGTGTGTTTGGGGGGAGGGGGGAGTTTAACAGTGGAGAATTTTGCACCAAGAAACTTCCAGTATCAGTTTTTGATAAAATATTGGATTCAGTCAGGGCTGGCCACAATTTCAAAAAAGTAATTTAGATGTACAAAGAATCAAAGTTTTTCCATGGCTCTGTTTTAAAGTTTTGTTCATGCAAAGTCGTATTAATAGTACTAAGTATTTTTAAATATTTAATTTCCATTTCCACTCCTTAGCTGCTCCATTTTCTGCTTTGTAAAATACTGGCAAGCAATCTTTCTTTTTCTGGCTTGGCAGATAATGAATGTCTATTTTCTGCTGAAACAGGAATGTGATAAGACAGTTGGAGTTCTAAAAATGAAAGGTTAATTTCAGCTGGTTTGCATTCTCCTAATGTTACACAATTGGAATGCTCAATGTATTGCTGGTCTCCCTATTAACGTGCCATTGCACACTGCAGGGAGATGAACCAAATTCATCTCCTAGATATTTTTAAACACTAAACTTATCAGTAGTTCTACCGGACATGTATAGCAGGGGGCATGTGCCTGACATTGGAGACCTTTATTAAGAAGTTACTTCTAATTTCAGCAGGGACGGGTTCAAGCGTTATATTGTTCGGTTTTGCAGTGCACTTAATATACTGCATTTCTTACCCATCTGAGAAAAAGTGTGCAGGGTGGTTGCTGAAAGTGAAGGAGTGCTAGAGAGGTGTCTAACTATTCCCCTAGTCTTAGGGGGACTTTTTCTAATTTTTGTTGCAAACCTGGAGCAGAATCCTGTGTGTTGGCATTTTTAGTAAGTGGACAGATGAAGCCCTGTCACCCTGGCTTGTGTTCTGAGCCTGGTTTAGAATCATAGAATCATTTAGGTTGGAAAAGACCTTTAGGGTCATCAAGTCCAGCTGGATTTAACTCTATTCACCACCACTTTTTTGGGCTTGGCCAGCCAGCCAGTTTTCACCCAGTGAAGAGTACCCCTGTCCAAGCCATGAGCAGCCAGTTTCTCTGGGAGAATGCTGTGAGAAAGTGCCACAGGCTTTACTCAAGTGTAGGTAGATAACATCCACAGCCTTTCCATAATCCACTGAGCTGGTTACCTTGTCACAGAAGGAGATCAGGTTAGTCAAACAGGACCTGTCTTTCATAAACCCATGTCAACTGGGTCTGACCAGCTAGTTGTCCTGTGTGTGCTGTGTGATGGAACTCAATCTGCTCCATAAACATCTCTATCACCAAAATCAGACTGACAGGCCTGTAGCTCCCTGGATCCTCCTGCAGCCCTTCTTGTAGATGGGCATCACATTTGTTAACCTCCAGTCATCTGGCACTTCCCCATTTATCCAGGACTGCTGAGAAATGATGGAACATGGCTGGTGAGCATTTCTGCCAGCTCCCTCAGCACCCTTGGTCCTATCCAGCCTTACAGACTGGTGTGTGTCCCAGTGGTATAGCAGGTCACGGACTATTTCCCCTTGGATTCCTGGGGGTTTCGTTCTGCTCCCCATCCCTGTCTGCCAGCTCAGACAGGTATCTCAAGATCAACTGGTAATACTGTTAAGGACCGAGGCAAAGAAATATCTCAGCCTTTGTCACTATGTTTTTCCTCTTGCATCCAATAAAGGATGGAGATTCTCCTTAACCCTCCTTTTGTTGCTAATCTATTTATAGAAGCATTTTTTATTGTCTTTTACAGCAGTAGCCAGATTAAGATCTGGTTGGGCTTTGGCTCTTCTAACGTTCCCCCTGCTTAGCCTCAGGGAGTAGTTCTCCTGAGCTGCCTGCCACTTTTTCCACTGGTCATAAACTCTGCTTTTTTTCCCTGAGCTCCAGGCAAAGCTCTCTTTTCATCCAGGTCAGTCTTCTTGCCCTCCAGCTCATCTTTTGGCACATGGGGACAGCCTGCTCCTGTGCCTTTAACATTTTCTTCTTGAGGCATGTCCAACCTTCCTAGATTCCTTTGCCCTTCAGGACTGCCTCCCAAGGGATCCTGTCAGCCAGGCTCCTGAGCAGGCCAAAGCCTGCCCTCTGGAAGTCCAAAGAGGCAGTTCTGCTGACCGCCTCCTTATTTCTGTGAGAATGGAAAACTAATCACTTCATGATTGCTATGCACAGGACAGCCTGAACCATCACATCATCCACAAGTCCTGCTCAGTTCACAGACATGTCCAGTGGGTCACCTTCTCTCACTGACTCCCTCACAAGCTCTGTCAGGAAGTTACCATCTTCCACACATTCCAGGAGCCTCCTGGACTGTTTCCTCTCTGCTGAATTGTACTTCCAGCAGACATCTGGTAAGTTGAATTCCTCCATGAGAACAAGGGCTAGTGATCCTGGGACATCTTTGTTTTTGAAGTAAAGGGACCCTTTTTAGCATACAGCTTTCAAAATACACAGGGGCAGGGTGACGCTCAGTTCCATGCTCCTGTTCCATGTGTCTCTGTGTGCACTTCCTCCACAATGGAGCAATACATTTTGTCATCCTTAAAGCTTCACATGTAATATTTGCTGAAATATTTTTCTTTTCCAAACACATGTAAAGTAGGAAGAAGTAGGAAGCAAGCTGCTTTTCTTTGTAATGCAGTCTCTTTCACATGAAGTAACTCTTATGAAGTTTCAGCTGCTCTTAACAGACAGGGAAGGGCTGAACGGGAGGAAGCCCTCAGATACGCAGAACTGTGTGCGTGTGTTTGCTCGGAAGGGCTGTCCTGCTGTTGGGCAGGAGGCTGCCTGTTGTAAAAGATAATTACTTCCCTGCCTCAAAGGTCAGATGTGATGGCAGGGACTAGCCCCATGAGCAAATTGAGATCAAGCATTATACTCAGACAGGGATCATATTTATGTCTGGAAAAAGTATGAAAGACAAACTAAAGATAAAGAGGAAACCTCTAACTGGAATGAGAGCCTTGGGTAGACCCCCTTCTGATTCTTTGATTAGGGCAGTTCCCTTCCTATTGATGAAAAGGTTAAGTGATCCACTGAAGGTATTATGAAAATGTCAGTATGAGATGATAATCAACGTGAAAGGGTTATTAAATAGTCCAAAACTGAAGGGCAAGGAAGGCAAAAAAGTCACCAAAGTCAAGAAAGGGGAAATAGTGGTAATTCCAGACTTCCTGTTACCAATGAATCTACCATACCTGTATGAAAAGTACTTGCAAACCAGCTTGTAATTAGGAACCCGTGATGTGCAAAATAGTGCAGCCTCACAGTTAGCAGAACAGGGAAATGTATTGTGTGATGCGAAGCAGTTCAGTACCGTTCTAATTTCTTCCATGGCTCCTTTGGAGAGCATGATTTGTTTGTTTTCGATGGGTGGTTACAGTTTCAATGTCAGTAGCAAATCCCTGGTGGATTTGTCGTTTTCATGTTGAAAGCCAGCTGGTTCACAGAGGGAAAGGGATTAGCTTCCTGTCCGTTTCCTTTCTGGAAAAAGTAATGTGTGCACACTGGAAATATTTCCCGCTTGGGTAAAGTATGCTTGAAAATACCTTTCTGGTGGAGTCATAATTTCATGGGCACAGAAAGAGGCCTTGCTTTCAGTTTTATGTGTTTATAGAAACCTTTGGAGAAATCTAAGGGGCTTTTTTTCTCCCTGACTTTCAAAAGTGCTCACTGCTCCAGCTGGGAGAGTTGTGCCAGTGTAAACCCTGCTCTCCTCTGGCGCTGCAGTCCATGGGGCAGTGGAGAGTGTTCCTTCAGCAATGGCTCAGCCCTTTGAAGGAACTGCTGTGGTATGTGCCTGCAGCACGGGTCACAGCACTTCAGGTCTGAGCGGCAGCAGGAGGGCTTTATTTTTTACGTTCATGTACATGTGAATAAAAGCAAAATCAGAAATACATGGTGTGGTGGGAGAATGGAATTTTACTCCTTTAAAGTTTGGATGTACCTGCTCCTAAAGCAAAAGGTTCGGGAAGTGCAGCAGATGCTTTCATTCATGCATGTGAGGAGTGGTTACTGTGTCTTTTGAGTGATTAAATAAAGTAAAACATAGTTTTTCTATCCATGCTCTGTGCACATAGGATGAGGCAGATGTTAAATATTTATGTGAAAAGTGAAAAAGATGGAAGTTTGAAAGTGCGATGTGGGAATGCCCTACTGCAGACAGAAACCAAATACAAGCTACTGTTAGCCACCACTGCTTCAGGATAAACCTTGGCTAGGACTCAGTTTTAAATGTTTCCTATTGTGTACAGCTCTTCTAATATAAAGGTTTTTTCCTTTCCTGTTTTCCTTAGCAGCAACAGCATTCATGTGAAAATGGTATTTTGTTTGCCAGTTAGCTCCTATTGCGTTTTCCCTACCTGAAATTATTTTGCTTTTATTAGCTAGAAATGCCATCCCTTGGGATGCTTTCCTATGAAGCATGCCAAAAGTATCCCAGGGGAGCAGTCTTTCACTAGCAGAGAAATAAATGAGATTTCTCCTGTAGGTACTTTTCCCCAGTTTCAGTTTTTAGTAGTATAGTAGCTCACAAGATTCATTAAATCCCAAATCTCTGTTGAGTAACCTGAAAGTAATCCTTTTATGTCAAGCTGGAATGTAACAGTGGGAAATTATTGCTTTTATTTGTCAAAGGAAGGAAAGGCACAAATAAGGTTCTGCCATTTTGAAGTAGAATGACTTGGAAATGAGCAGCCTTAGAAAAAATTAAGTTTTCATTTATTTTACACAGTAGTTGCTGAGTGACTTACTCAGGATGCTATTAGTAATTACTGTATACAGTTAAGTGATGCTTGAAAGCTCCATTCTCCTGCTTGACTCATGCTCTAAAGATTACCTCTGCAACAGAATGAAGACTTGCTTAGATTGCAGTGAAAACTATGGAAGCCACATTACCCTGTACTAACTGCATCTGAATTTAAACAAAGCATGCTGGGTGTCTAAATAAAATGATACTATGCAAAACTATGCTATTTGTTGCTGATAATTTTGGTATGTAATACTCACCTGAGGATTCTCCTGTCTTTCCATTCTGTCTAGTGTTGAGGGTGAAGCCCCAAGCAGCGAAACTGGCACATCTTTGGATAGCCCCTCTACTTACCATCAAGGACCTATAACACACAGCTCAGCTCTCAGTCCAGACCATTACGATCACTCTGCTTACGGGCTGTATTCTGTCTCCCCTGGACAACAAAGATCACGGAGGCCAAAACTTCAGCACTCAACATCCATACTGCGAAAACAAGCAGAGGAAGAAGCTATTAAAAGGTCAAGATCTCTTTCTGAGAGCTATGAACTCTCTTCAGATCTACAAGATAAGCAGGTATTTGAGCTTTGTTACCTAAGTTATGATAATGGCAACAAGTCTGCAATCTGGAAAAAGTCTTTTCTAGCATCAGTTCAGTTGTGATGCTGAAAATACCTTTTTTCCTGTGACCAACTTAGTTCAAAATAGTCATGTGTCAGCATTTCTGAGGTTTGTGACTTCTTTTTTATTGTGCTGTGTCATTCGTATGTTCCTTTACACCATCCCCCTTCCTGAAGAAAGGTGTAGAAGATACTTTAATAGTGTTAAAAGTAAAAGCAGTTCTGCTAGGAATTGTAATTTCATGCTTTGAGTGAGAACTTAAATGTAATAGCATTAAGTATTTTTCCAAGAAAATGAGTCATTTTGAAACCTGGATGTCTTTGTGTTGCTGAAAGAAAGGAAGAACTTATTGCAGCTGATATTCCCTGCCCCATCCCTGGCAGTGTTTAAGGCCATATTGGATGGGGCTTGGAGGAACCTGGTCTAGTGAAAGGTGTCCCTGCCTGTGGTAGGAGTTTGGAACTGAATGAGCTTTAAGGTCCCTTCCAACCCAAACCAGTCTGGGTTTCTATATCTGTGGAGTTAATTCAAGGTCTTAACTGGTTTTACTTAACTGGGCAAAACTCCTACATGCTTTAGAAAGAGCTGGATAAAAGTTACGTAGTTGTTCAAAGCCTTTCTCCCTAAAAAGACACTTACATAAGACAGTCAACCTCAGCCATCCCTTTAAGCTTTATTCTGAATGTTGTTATATTTGAAAGATGCTTATTGCCATATAAGTTAATATCTATCATTTAAAAATGATGCTGTAGTAGCTTCAGGTAAGCAAATACATAGGATGCACTGGATTTCCTTGGTAGGTATATAGTAGCTAGTACATCAATGACTGGAGCAGAGGGTTGTGTTGCTGGAGATCTTTATTGCCACAGAACATTTTGTTTACTGTGAATCCCTGTGGTACATTGCATAGTCCCTCCAGCCTGCATAGTAGCATGGTGAAAGTGGGAGCAGGCAGAATTCTGCAGGCAGGAAGCAGACCACTCCTGTTTTGGACCACACATTGATCCTCATTGAAATTTATAGGGGCCAAGTCTCATTTGCTGTCTATTTGTTCTGTAATTTCAGGTTGGGGGATAATATAATGTTGTTCCAGAGAGATGTGGAGGAATAGAACTTGAGCTCTGACTGAAATTTGAAGCCAGGATTTGGAATAGCAAGTTTGAGAGTAGTTTAGCCTTTATGCTCACCAAATTCTATATTGGAGCAGGGACGTATCAGGTTCCTGATTCTTGATGAAAATTATGCCAGCTCTGCTATTAAATTGAACCTCTTTGTGAGACCTAAAATGTTACTTACTTTTCCACCTTTGGCAGTTGTTCTTGCTGATCTCTCATAAGGGATTGACAGAGTGTAAGGCTTACTAAAGAGGTCTCCTGCACTGCAGATACTCCACAGAGCCTAATTCCATCTGTCCTTTTATGCTGGATTGATGGAGAATGAGGACTGCAAATGTTATTTTGGATTTGGTCAGGGAATCCTACACAATAAAAAGTGATACATAAAGGAAGCTTGATACTGAAAAGTTGCTTAGGGTTCTTGAAAAGTTCTCATTGAAACCTCTGAAGATACTTCAGAACTATTTAGGAAAACGTCTGAGGCTTTACCTAAAGGCAGTGTGCATTCAAGATGATTTTAAAAGGTGCATTAAATATTAGTCACAAGTCTAGTAAATCATTTAAGCAAATTCCAAAATACTCTCAATTAAAATCCCCCCCCCATGATAATCAGTGATGTTATTTTCTGTGTAAGCCTGAAAGACAACAGTCTGTTTGCAAGAAGAAAACCCAGGTAATTTGTTTTATAGCAGATTAGGGTTTGTTTCATTCTTTCAACCAGCTATGCTAGTTTTCTTTTCTTTAGCTTTGACATTTAATTTTGAAAGGAGATCTAAATGGACTATTCATCTTTTTTTTTTAAGATTAGTCCAGCAAAATAATCTCGTGATTTATTTAAACACGTCCAATGCACACTGTGGATAGAAACAGCAGCAGATGTGTGGCAGCAGTGGCAGGGTTGTGATAGAAGTTCCTAGTAAGATTTAAATCTTTGGAATGTCTGACAAGTAATCTCCTAACCTCTTTGACAGTATAACCCCTGCTTGGGGTTGAAAGGCTGAGCAGTTTATTTACAGACAAGTGATAGAAAATTATGCAGAGATTCCCATCTGAGAGAGCAGTCACATCTTTCCGAGCCCAGCGCATGGAATTTTCAAGATACAATCAACAGAACAATTCCATAGCAGTAAGATGACCTCCTCAGTTTATGCCAATAACTGTACATAATAGTTTTTGCATCTAGAATTCAGAATTAATGAAAATCAGTGACTCACCTTTAAATACACCGAGCATAAAAGGAGATCATCTCTGAGATGGAAGGAGCAGCTGAACCCACAATAGCACTGAAAGAAATACATCAACTACTCCCCAGCGGTAGACATAATGGACTGTATTTTTAGTAGCATTTAATTCCTTCCCCAGAAGGGGATGAAGCCCCTCTGCACATCAGTATCTGAACTTAGCAATGACTTAATGAGATCTCTAAAGTAAAAAGGGGAGATACTGTGTGTTCATGTCCACATAATGTAAGGAATTAAAACATGGGCTCTAATGAAAAAGGGTACCTGGATTTGCAAGCAAGGAAAAATGACTTTTGAATCATTGTAGTGTTATGAAAATGGCGTGAACTTACACAAGATTGCTGCCAGGAAAATGGTGGGTTTAATTGTAGTACTAAACATTGATTTGTCATGGATGGTTTGTGTTTGGGACTAATATGGATCCAACAAAGAGTAGTCAGAACAGAAATTAAATGCTGGAGGGAGGAAATGATAAAGCTAGCTCCTCATCTTGTTCAGTGTCATTTAAATAAGTAATGCTTTTCACCTTTGGAAGGAAATGTTTAAAAATACCTAATATTCCAAAAGTATCGACATGTTATTTTCACTAGGATAAATGGGCAGCATTTATAATGTGCTTATTTTGCATATTCATTGTGTAAACTGGAAACACTGGCAGTGTTCAGTGTAATCACAAGCATGAAAATAGGTTTGAATTTGTATTTAGAAAGTCTGAAATATTTTCCTGGTTTGAGGAAGACTGTGTATGTGGACATTCCATCAGAGAAACTTCCCTGGAAGGCCTGGGAGGCTCAGTTTGGTATCGAGCCTGTGTGAGATGATGCTGCCTGGTTTACATTCATATAGAAGGTGATGCATGCCTGGAAGGGTGATGGCCACTTCTAGAATTTACTCCCAAAGTATGGCAATTTGCCCCATATTTGAATTTCACCACTCTACAGAGAAAGAATGACTGTATTACGCTGCATCAGAGTGCTACCTTGGCTGCTTTTTACATGGGCACACTGATGCTCATATGTGAAAACCAACATTTAAACACACACAAATAGCCAGCACATAAAATTGTAAATGACAGTTTTCACATAGTCACATATTTGTCATACTTTTATGGTGCAATTTGCAAATGACTATTCTGGTCACTGTCAGTGCAGTTGTTAGTCTGGAGCTTTGAGTTTGCAGTTCCAAAACCAGTATGCAGTTTGAAAAATGTCCAAAAATGAAAGCTGTTAGAAGAACTTGGTTTTTGTTCTACTTTAACCTTGTCCTAACCTGCATGAAGTCACAAGGTACTTGTGTTGCCCTTTTCCCAGGTGGAAATGCTAGAACGGAAGTATGGAGGCCGTCTCATAACTAGACATGCTGCTCGTACCATACAAACAGCTTTTCGCCAGTATCAGATGAACAAAAACTTTGAGCGTCTGAGAAGTTCTATGTCTGAAAATCGTATGTCAAGACGCATTGTACTGTCCAATATGAGAATGCAGTTTTCCTTTGAAGGACCTGAGAAAGTCCATAGCTCTTACTTTGAAGGAAAACAAGTTTCTGTTACAAACGATGGGTCAAAGCTGGGATCCCTGGTACCATCTGAATGTGGTGACCTGGGAGAGTCAGCTACAATGAAGTCTCCAGCAGCATCTACTGATTTTGCTGATGCTATCACAGAACTAGAGGATGCTTTTTCCAGGCAGGTGAAATCCCTTGCAGAATCCATTGACGATGCACTGAATTGCCGCAGTCTACATTCAGATGAAGTCCAGACTCCGGATCAAGTCAGAAGTCGTGACATGGAGAGGGATAGTTGTGCTCAAACTAAACCAGCCATTCACAATGTGGATCACAGGAAGCTTGATGAGATGACAGCATCATACAGTGATGTTACGTTATATATTGATGAGGAAGAGTTATCTCCGCCCCTTCCACTTTCCCAGTCAGTAGACAGACCGTCCAGCACAGAATCTGATTTGAGGCTCCGGTCTGTGAACTCTTCTCAGGAGTATTGGTCCATGACCCACAAAGATGATAAGATAGACACTGATACAAGCTGCAGGAGTACCCCATCCCTGGAATGTCAGGACCAGAGGATGAGAATGGATCACCTACCATTGCTAACTATAGAGCCACCCAGTGACAGTTCAGTGGACTTGAGTGATCGCTCTGAGAGGGGTTCACTAAAGAGACAAAATGCCTATGATCGAGGGATCACTGGTCAACAAGGAAGCCCAAAACACATCCCTCACAGTATTCCTGCCAAGATTATATCCCGAGAGGAACAGGAGGCCAGACATAGGGCTAGGCCTATAGATAGTCATTTAGCTATCAATGGCACTGCAAACAGGCAAAGCAAATCAGAGTCTGATTATTCTGATGGAGACAATGACAGCATCAACAGCACTTCCAACTCTAATGATACAATAAATTGCAGCTCAGAATCTTCTTCTAGAGACAGCCTAAGGGAGCAAACCTTGAGCAAACAAACCTACCACAAAGAAACTCGTAACAGCTGGGATTCCCCTGCCTTCAGTAACGATGTTATCAGGAAACGCCATTATAGGATTGGACTGAATCTCTTTAACAAGTGAGTACAGCATTTCCTCCTTTTCCCTCTGTGTTTGGTAGAAACGTGGCCTCTGAACCAGGAGGATTTTTCTTGTATCAGATAAGTAAGACTGATGTCTGATGTTGACTCGTCAGTGAATAACAAGCTGCTTGTGATGACTCTTCATATTTGAGTACTTACAAGTTGATGTGTTCATAGTTAAGCAGCTTCAGGGGGAAAGATACAATTATGCATGTATGTAAGTGGTGGCAAATTATTGGGGAGGATGGATCAGATTCTTGTTGAAAAGACTGGTGGCTTAATCCTGACCCATTTTTTGGTGTTATAACAAATTCTGATTTCTTCCTGCCCTAATCATGTAGGTGTGGTAAGAGCTGTCAGATGGGAATTAGAAATTACAAGCAATGTAAGATAAGTTTTTGTTTTAACACAGGCAGAGCCTGGAATTAATTCAATAAATTTCGTCAATACTTTGATATTAAAAAACAATGCACTGAATAGTTTTACCCTGAATAAATATTATTTGTCATAAAATTGTAATAAAATCTGTATTTCTACTTATAGCTGTTAATTTTCCCAGTTATGGACTTGTTTATATAATTTTCTCAAGTTTCTGTGTTTTATTGAAGTACTTTCTTTGGACACTTCTGTGTGGCTGTAGAAATATGAACACTATGATAGAGGGTAACAGATAATACACTGCTCTGAGCTCTGTATTCACGTTATAGGAGTTACTCAGTTCTTATCAGAACTATTGTAATTTAAAAATCTAGGAGGTTGGCATTAGAATTCCTAGTTTTTCTCACTGCTTAGTTCATTCATGCCTAATGTGCCAGCTTCCCTGTCCTCAAATGGGTATCACTTAACTTAAACCTTCTCTAATACTAGTGCTTTTAAAGCTCTTCAGAACACCGGGATAAAAGATAAGTGCCAGAATTTTTCCCTGCTGATGGCTCACAGTGTTTGCAGAAGTCTTTGAAATTTTCCTCCAGGTACTTCAGGATTTCTTTATGAATAGTTTGTAGCTTTACAAGAGCTAATGGCAATTTCATTGTGCTGCCATAGGCCTTGCTTCGCAGCCTCCTGCAGCTTGGGAGAGCTCAGCCCTCCTTTCCAGCTAGCAGCGCTAGGATTGTGTTTTGGCTTGAGTATTAGGTCAGTGGTTCATCATATAAGAATGTGTTGTAACAGTGCAGACAATTCAAGCTTTTTGATGCCATTGTGTGAGGCTGTGCATTGCCATACTAAGTATGGATGGGCCAGGCTTGACTGTAAAACTTGCAGGTTTGTTTATCTTTGTAAAAGGTTAATAGGCCTTTACAGAAGCTTTTAATCAATAAGAAGTATGTAAGTCAAAGGATCTCTGCAGATTTTCATGCTCATAATGTAGATTGGGTAGGAAGATACATAAATTTGCTTATTTTAGGCTCGAAAACATTAATATCTGGGGGGCAGAGGAGGGAAGGAAAATGCTGGTTCTGTTTGGCTGACATTTAAAGACTTTGTGTTTGCTCGGGTTTTTGAACAGCCTTGAGCAGTCGATGGTCAGTGAACTTCAAGCTGGATAATACACTCTTTAGAGTCAATTGCAGAAGGGTGAAAGAAGAAAGGTGGTCAAGCAGCATGCAGCAATGAATGAGAGCATTGGAAACCATCAGATGCTTCTAGTGGCATACCCTATCAGCAGGAGGCTGACAGTGAAAAATAAACATCAGGAACAGAGAAGAGTAGGGACTGTTACTTGAAACACATCTAAATGATTTTGCTGCATGGACTGGAACAGAGGTAAACCTTTTCTATATATTGACTGATTGTCAGACAACTTGCAGTTTCTTAGCAGTGAATTGGAAGAGACAGGGATATGCAGAACCTCAGGCATCTCTGTGCATGATCTTTTGCTGTATGTGACTATCTCATTCCCCCACTGCATTATATCTCCACTATCAATACAGAACTGAAGAGTCTCATTACCTTCTGCTGAGTCACTCTGATTCCACTGATAGCTCAGACAGCCCATGAGTATCCCATGGATTTCTGTTTTGATTATGGCTGTTCAAGTTGGCAGATTGTGGCATTTTCATTAATAGCCTTCTTTCTCCTATTTCTATTCTGTGATGGTATTGAACCATCACAGAATGAGATGGTGCATGAATCTGTAAACTCTTACTAGAAGGGATCTGGGAAACTTCCAAAAGCTTTATTCTTTTAAAAGCTCAGGAGACTCTTAAAGAGTGCACCAGGTAGGATTGCAAATTGCATTTTGTGAGATCACTGAAGGGATAGAGATTGTGTTGAGCACTTGCCAGGATTTGGAACTGATGATTGCTTCAAGATGAAGAATCCCTTTTCCTGTCAGGTATGTGCTGTGCAGGTGCATTGATTACAGTTAACTTCTGAGCATTATGCTCACTGTTATCAGCACATGACGTATGTCACAGCATCTTGTGTGTCCAAATGTTATTTGAATTGAAAGCTGGATCCTGGATGTCACTCTCCTTGGCAGAGGCTGCTCTTCCCCTGGCAGAACAACAATGGAGTAGGATTGCCCAGCCTGGTTAGGTACTTCTGCTAACCAGTCCCATCTTCCCAGCTTCTGTCTCTTGTTTGTGCTTCCTACCATGTAACCAGATGTACACCCACAATCTGATGGGATACGTTTTTTCAGTCTACTCTCCAGCATTCAAGTCAATGCAGCAGAATCATTTTGATGTTTTTTGCCCGTGTGATCTTCCATGACACGTTTATGATGATAAAATGAGGGAGCAGTACAAGTCATGGCATCGAGCTCCCAAGAGGATGAGTGCTCCACCCATGTGGAAGCACCCTGCACAGAGCTGGAAGAAGCAGCTTTGGAATTGCCTGTTAGGAGAAGGCAAGTTATCTCCTCGATGTCTGCATCTACCAGAGAAAATTTTAAGGATGTCTTTTACAGCATACTCATGTTAATGTCATTGTGTCTTTGAAATCTTCCTTGCAAAGCAAGATCCCAAACCTTAATTGACAAATAATCATCTCATTTGTTTTGGTACATAAAGCTGGGCTGAAATACAAAGAATTTAGAGCCAGAAAGAAGTGCATGAATTGTAGTAAATACTTCTGCTTTTTTCACTAGGAGTGTTGAAAGAATGAAGCTTTTAGAAGCATGTCACTATCCTCACAATTGAAATTTCAACAGATGCTTTATAATTTTTCTGGCTTTCCTATTACAGCAGCGATTTTCAGAATCCAAAGTGGAGTTTTCTTACCAAAGACCCTTTGTTAGAATAGCCAGTTATGGGTGGAGTAAAGCTGGAGCACAGCTGGGGGTCTAGTTTATTTAATCACTGTTACATGCAAAACATTAGTATCACAAAGATCCTTGGAGGATGGGAAACACAGGACAGTAGAAAAAGAAATAGGAGTTGAAAATCATTTTCCTAGGAGCTCTATCATTTGATCATGGACTTTGTTTCAAACTGTAACTTAGCACTCGGTAGGAATCTCAGCATTAATTAGAAGAATATACTTTTAAAAGATGGTTTGTGGTATCCTTATACCAGAACATAAAGTATCACCCAAATGGGACAATTTCTGCCAAAGAAATTGCAACTAAGGAACAGGTTCTGTGCATGCTCCTGGTTTTGAATGGCAGTAGTGATTTCACCCTGTCAATAGTCTGTCAGACTGTGTATCACCATTCATTGCTTTCCTAAAGGAAGGATTGCAGGTGCCACAGCGCCAGGCTGCCGCGGAAGCGTTGGAGCCCAGCTGTGTTGAATTAGACATTTTCTTCAGTGTAGCTTGAAAGGGCTTTAGTCCAGGAGGGAATACACTGGAAACCATTCCTCCCTCATAGGCAGAAGGAAAACACTACCTAGAAAGGTTTATTTTGCAGGCTCCAAACCCTGCCAATGCAAATCCAGCCTTTGAGACTGGTTTGCTTATAAACAAGGTTTCAAGAGGCCTTTTGACTGCTACTTAATAAAAAAAGGGAATCAAAAAACCCAAGTGAAAAGGGCTGTGATTTTATTCTCATGTTTGTTTTGACTGCAGGCTGGAAATACCAGGTTTACCAGTTATTGCAGCCCAATCTGGTAGGATTTTCAGGTTCCATTCTGCTGCCAGTGCACTGATGGTTCTAATAGATTAAATAGGACTGAATGGTTTAACCTTAGCAGCCTGAGGAAACACGTCCTGCCCTTGGGTCAGCTTTGCAGTCAGTAGTTGTAAACCATGATACTGTACAGAGCCGTGTGTCTGTAGGCAGAAATATATTGCCTCATTCCCTTCTCTTGTGCCACTGTGACAGTGGTGGTAACTCTGGTTCCTTGACAAGTACCAGGTACTGCCCTCAGTTACTACCTCCTCAAAGTCTCCAGCACACCCAGCTGAGCCATGAAGAGTAGAGTATAACGAGTCATTCTTCAGCATTCTCTTGGGCAGGGGGTACAAACGCTTCCTGCACTGATAACATATTTTCAACAGAACTTGGACAACATCAGGGTAGTTTGAAAATGTGATGTGACTGTGGCTGGTGTTACAAAATACGGGAGCAAAAGTTTGTGTTTCTCAGATTCATTTGTTATTCTGGCAGAGACTAGAATCATATTTAGTATCTCCATTGGGATATTGGTTATTGGAAGGCACTGACTGTCAAAACTCTCCTCTGGAAGTGTTCTATGGCATTGGCATTTCTTGCCATGTGAGCCAGTCTTCCTGCTGGCGGTGCCAAGGTCTGACACTGCTGGTGAAGAGAGACTGTGAAGCCCAGCTTGTGGCTGTTCCCACTATGCTGCTCTGCTTTTTGTGCTGGAGCACAATTCTGTTGAGGGCTCTTTTTGTGTAGTGTTTTGTTGAAGGAACGACCTAACCTTACACATACATATTGGATAACACCACTTTACATTGCTAGAACAGAGGCTAGGCTATAAGCATTTCCACAATAAGTTTTCGCAGATGTCTTTCACATACAAACACACCCCATTTTTGTCCCCTCTTGCTTTCTGGAAAGGGTAGTGACAAGTGGGGAACTGTTCTCT